AATGATGTAGGTCTAAACTGCTTTCTGTACTCTTTTACATATAATCATGTTATATAGAAAAGCCATTATTAACTTTATCAGCACATAAATAGGCTAAACTTCATATTCTTGTCTATGATAGTTACAACTAGCCAACAACATATTAATATAATTTAACTAACTGCAACAATGTCAGCGCTTTTATGTTGTTTACGGCCAGTTTACCAATGAACTGCCGTCTAGTGGATATGATAAGTTATTCATTTACTAAGTCTTCGTGTGTTAGTGACTCGACTCGAAGTATTGTATTTTTGATTCGATTTTTTGACTTTCTTTATGAAACCATATGCTGCCCAAAAGAACAATTTATCTGCAACATTTAAGACCAAAATGTATCATTCTCATTATCAAATTGTAGATTTCAAAATGTTGTTTTAAAATTAAATGAAAAAGTGATAAAGTAGTAGTGCATTTTGCATACTAATCGCCAAAGCATTATAATTATCCTAAATGCATGGTTCTGTATAGTTTCCCACCAGCTGAAATAGTAACCCGGTTAAAGGTTGGCACTTTTTTAAGAAAACCTATGCAAGTTGTTTGAGTAATGTAGCCTACGTGTGCGCACTTTTAAATGATGTAGGTCTAAACTGCTTTCTGTACTCTTTTACATATAATCATGTTATATAGAAAAGCCATTATTAACTTTATCAGCACATAAATAGGCTAAACTTCATATTCTTGTCTATGATAGTTACAACTAGCCAACAACATATTAATATAATTTAACTAACTGCAACAATGTCAGCGCTTTTATGTTGTTTACGGCCAGTTTACCAATGAACTGCCGTCTAGTGGATATGATAAGTTCTGCAGGGCAAAGTTGCGTTACTGTATTGTGAAATGTTTTGCTGTCAAATAAATAATCTGCAATTGTATTTAAATGTATATATTGTCATTATTTTATTAACACATTTTTGTTATTTTTATTAACAGTATATATATTTTTTTATTATTGTTTGAGGCAAATCACGCCAATAAAGTAATTTGAAATTGAAAAATAAAACAAATTCATATTTATATAAACAACAAGGAGATCTAAATAGATCTAATTCACGATCTATTTATGGGAGACGAACATTGTCTGTTACAAACCCAAACCACAAAACAACATACTGCAGCATCTTGCACTAAAGCAAATAGGTGAAATAAGTCCACTGTTGCCCTCCTTCTCGCACGCAAACGCACACCTCTGAAACTGTTCTCAGACACTCATCAGCGGCACCCGAGGTGGCCAATGTCCCGTAACGCGCATTAGTGATGTCTGCATTAGTGATGTCTGCATTATGTCACGGAGCCGTGGCTCTTTGAGGTGTGGGTGTGATGAGGCGCCGGTCATTATTCAGGTAATGTGGGCTGTTTGATCCATCACGCGCTCATGCGATGACGCTCGCGCCGCTGTTCTATGGGAACGGGGAGTCTCGCGCTGCTCGTTAAAGACTAATTTCAACATGCGCTCATCTCATTTTTTTATCTCATGAGAAAAAAAAGAATTGCATCCGTCAAATCGAGAGGATATATATTTTAGTGCATTTGTGCCCCCCCCCCCAAAAAAACCCGCGTACTTAAGACATTTCAAACGCCTCCCTACTTCAAAAGTCTCTTTCATGTATTCTGTCCTCCAAGCTAAAACTCCTATTACAATCATAATTGTTTTAATAATAAGCTGTTGGATAAACACGCAAGGAAAATACAATCAAACTGATAGACATAAGTCAACTGCTGTGCAATTAATTGTTTTGCTTTTCATTTCAGCTAAAAATGCTATAAAAATGCTTTGAGTCTATAAGTACACGTGACAAAATGCTTGTCACATGCAAAACAAGAGCGCTTCCTATTAGCCTAATTTTATTATACAAAGACCCAAAACACCGATATTAAAATTTTAGTTTCAATGCACGGAGACCAATAGGTGACTGATCTCGGACCAGCCCCCTCCTGTCCTAAAATAACTCACACAGACCCAAACATAAAGGAGGCGGAGAGTCGCCTGTCTGCACGGAATAAATGAGTGTTGTAATAGCTTTGAGCTTTGCTGAAGTGGAGCTGCTATCAAACACACTGTCTCGCTTGCTCTACCTGTGCGAATCCAGCCACAATCATCAGGAGATCGGATTGCCACGAACAGCCAAACCGCAAAAATCATTTCCATGCGCAAAAACAGACAGGATCAGGTTACCAGGGTGATGATACTGAAGGCCATAAACTCACACTCCAAGTCTGTGTGTACTGTACTTTCCATAGGCCGCCGTCTGACCCCATAACCCACACACACAAAAACGTTTTTTAATGAATGTCCAGAATACAAACTATAGGCTAGTAATACATTTTCTATATAAATAAATAAATGCATAGACTTAAAAAGTAAACACTGGCGTTATCAAAACTGCCTGTTTGAGCATTCGGACCAGTAACACTGGCTGAACCAATAGCGTGATTTTGGGGCAGGACTATCGGTTTGTGCACCAATGGCAGATGGAAAGAGTTTGGGGAAACCTGCTTGGAAACGATCATTATGCTCAGCTTTGCCAAGCCTGTGGTTTTCCCGTGGAACTGGGCTACACTGTTACCGCGGGTTAAAAGGTTTGACATTTCATAAATTATATTTGACGGAAATACTTGTTTGAATCATTTTGTTCTCACTAGTTTATATTCTACCAATGATAAAACTGTGATATATAACTGGTAGGGAGCCTGTGTGCAGAAATGTATAACAAGTATTTATTTATGAAAATAGGCTGTTTATATATCACTACTATACAGTGAAGTTGAAATGTGTGTGTAGTGCATAACAGCAGATTATGCGGATCTAGCAACCCTGCTAGTGGAGTACAAATTTCACCTCCTTTTTAAAAAAATTAATAATTTGAGGAATCTGAGAAGTTTCTACCAGTTAAAAAAAAAAAGGACAGCAGTGTACTGTAGATTTGGACAGTCTTGGGTTGCGACATTTCTTTTGGGGGGGGGGCATATTTTCATAATACAATGGCTTATTTGGGCTTATTAGTGGTTGCCTCTCATAGAACAAACATATGATGACTTAATCGTAATTTTGTGTACCAATGTTTCTCTGTCTGTTCCCACAAACTGACAAACTTTTTTTTACCAGTCTATTTTGACATCTTAAGTAATTTGATTGCAGCATCTTTATGCCATTACAAGTTGCTTTTGATGCAACAGTAAGAGTTTTCTTAAATAAAATTATTTACAACAAAAAAAAAACAGGTTTATGTTTTGGGCTTAGTTTTCCAGACTGGATCACTTATTTTGGGCTTGTCTTTCAGGCCAGGTCAATGAAAGACGGGTACAAACTTAGCCAGCAATGATCAACTAACGAAAATGGCAAGAAAATTCAATAATACATTGATTTCTTCCAGTCTGTAAAGTGTTAGCTATGACTGATTAAATGAAGCAAACTTCCACACAACTAATTAAATTGTGATTCGAACAATCTCATTGAGGTATAGAGACCAAAAAACCCACAAAACAAAAGATCAAAAGGCCACTCATGACCTATCATACTGTCCTTCTGCACTTAGTATGATATTTGAATCTGTAATAAAGAAGTCAGATCACAGTGACACTAATAATAAAGTCTGAACAAACTCTGATCAGGGCAAGACAGTGCAAGAGTTTGCCTCTGACAGGAGATGTTGTGTCAGGAAGAGCTGCCAATGTTTCTCTGTCTGTTCCCACAAACTGACAAACTTTTTTTTACCAGTCTATTTTGACATCTTAAGTAATTTGATTGCAGCATCTTTATGCCATTACAAGTTGCTTTTGATGCAACAGTAAGAGTTTTCTTAAATAAAATTATTTACAACAAAAAAAAAACAGGTTTATGTTTTGGGCTTAGTTTTCCAGACTGGATCACTTATTTTGGGCTTGTCTTTCAGGCCAGGTCAATGAAAGACGGGTACAAACTTAGCCAGCAATGATCAACTAACGAAAATTGCAAGAAAATTCAATAATACATTGATTTCTTCCAGTCTGTAAAGTGTTAGCTATGACTGATTAAATGAAGCAAACTTCCACACAACTAATTAAATTGTGATTCGAACAATCTCATTGAGGTATAGAGACCCAAAAACCCACAAAACAAAAGATCAAAAGGCCACTCATGACCTATCATACTGTCCTTCTGCACTTAGTATGATATTTGAATCTGTAATAAAGAAGTCAGATCACAGTGACACTAATAATAAAGTCTGAACAAACTCTGATCAGGGCAAGACAGTGCAAGAGTTTGCCTCTGACAGGAGATGTTGTGTCAGGAAGAGCTGCTTGTTCTTTGTTTCCATCTTCATAAGTTTTCACGGGAAGTTTTCTCAGGTCTGCTTGAGGCCAAAATGAATTTTTCATGTATGTCCAGAGGGCTGTCCCGCTCTTACCGAGCAAGCTTAGTGTAATATTCTGCCAACATATCTGAGGCCAGAGAGAGACATGGAAGGAACACTGAACTACTGATGTTCCTGTATGCATGTTCTTCCCTTTCTGTCCTTCAAGCAATTCAAGTGTGTGTGTGTGGCCCGGTGGCTGTCGGCGGTGACCATCACTCCCCTACGCCCCACTTCACACCCTAGTCGTCCTCCCCGTGGTCACCCGGGAAACCGCAGGCTGCCCAGGCTGGCGCCAGTCCTCTCGCTGAGCTGATCAATACTGCAGCATTTCCTGCCCATTCACTCAGGTCACACACTCACCTCATTAATTATTACTGCCAACACTGCTGCTGGAGCACCCTGGGCACCCACAACACACACACAGTCATCGGTTTTCAGACAAACATTTTGGTTAATGCCGCCCCCTATAATACCAGTGCATTACTCTATGGTCACAAATCAACTTACAATGATATCAATAATGTTTGTTTGTCTTCTTTGAAGTGGTGTATAGAAATACTGACCTCCATTAATCACAAGGAATCACTGAAATTTTAGAATGAAGAGACATATTGATTTTTTTTCCCAAAAAGATATCTCATTTTATTTTAAAAGATAAAGCTGATTTGGTGACTAAATGCATAGAGTGTGTATGAGTCTGGTAATCTCGACTGTGTGCGACACTCATCAGTGTAGAGCAGGTCAGAACCACAAACACTCCAAAGTAAGTCCTCTTAAAACAGCACCCAAAAAAAAGCATGATCAAACTCCAGGCAGGCTCAGTTTCAGCATTAATTAACTGCATCAAACTGAATTGGATTCATATTATATACATCCAGATTGAATCCACCTTCAGAACTTGGTGACCGCGCAGGCCATGTTTTCCAGTGCTGACCGAGCTTCTGATGGTGGGAAGCACTTCATGGCCTCCAAGGCCTTGTTGCCGTGGTAACTGCACAGGTCAAGCGCCTGGCTCACGCCTCTGTCCATCTTTATCAGGCCCCGGAGCTGCAGAGCACGCAAGAATGAGGAGAAATTTTAATATCACTCCATCAAACTGATGAAACTGATATAGGAAACGTAATATTCTTGTAACCAAATTTAGAGGCAAGGAACAAATATCCAGCCCATATTTGAAACAAGCAATTTCTACAGATTAACAGGATTTGCTTGCAATACAAATGACAGTAACACTTTATAAAATGGTACAATTGTAAACATTAGCTAATGTGTTTGGTATCACAAACTAACAATAAATGCTTTTACAGCATTTATTAATCTTGTTTAAATGTTAATTTCTACATACAGTAATTCATTTTTAATATTTAAAAACATACAAATTAAATGAGTTAATGTAGTATGTATGAACAAATTAACTGAGCAATAGTATTTATAAATGTACATGAATAAGTGGTGTAAAAATGTTGTTCAGTGTTAGTTCATGATCTGTAATGCTAACTAATGTTAACAAATATAATGCATTATTAAAAAGAATACACTAATATTCAAAAGTTTGGGGTCAGAAAGTTTAAAAGAACAGATTTTTTTATGATTTTGTTTTGAACAAGTTAAGTCTTCAAAGTCATGTTTGATTCATTTAATGCATCCTTATTGAAACAAAGTATTAATTTCTTTCAGAAAAATCTTATGGGCAGTAAACTTTTGAATAGTAATGTAGATTATCTATATATAATTTTTTTAATATATGAGCAATATGCCATAAATAACATACCAAAATACCACAATACTAAATAAACATCATATATTATTAAACATAAATAATTTTCATAAACCCAGAATATTCCACACTCTCCCTCACTTAAATGGTCTTGTAGTCCTCCACTGTCACATACAAACATGTTTTGCTGGAGGCCATTTTGCCAAATGAATTCTGGGATGTGTTGTGCTAAGAAGCCCTTGGTCTGTCTGTGTCCTGTTGAAGGAGAATCTTGTGTGATGCTGCTGTCAAACCGTCTCTCTGTCTCCTCTACAAATAAACCTGCCACTCTATCCCCTAATATCCTGTTTCTTTGGCGACCCGAGCTGCTTGTCCCCTCCTCCTCCTCCTCTTCCTGCCCCCTCCCCACCACCTCTATTTGTCTCCCCTTCTTTCTTTCTGTCTTTCTTCACCTTCTGACTTTGGAAATCAAATTTCTGAACTTGCTATCAGTTACAGAACAAACATCTCCTATCGGCTCACTGAGGGCTGTAACCACCAATATTCACAGCACTGGTCGATCAATGTAGGTTTTTCAATGACCGATTCTTAAACTTTTACTTTAATATGCCTCAGATTCAAATACTTGATTACATTCTTGAACTTGCTCACAGAAATGTAGTTTTTTATATCCTGGTGCAGACTTTCCATTTACTTCTATTGTTTTTATACCGAGCAGGGTTATTATAGATAGCTAAAACTGTAACTGAAACTAAAATTGAAATATATAATATATTATATTATATAAAATATATAAAATATATTTTCTCATTTTTATTTAGTTTAACTTGATGTACTAAAATAATTAAAACTGAAATAAACAAAAAATAATAAGAATTATTTGGACATACATACATACATATATATATATATATATATATATATATATATATAAACTAATATAATATTTAGTAACTTATTTTTTGTGTGCATTTTTAGACTTTCGTCAAGCTATAATTTAGTATGTTTATTAAGTTCTTTTCCTGGGGACTGTTGGTTGTCACAATAATAGGTAATTTAAGGTTTCGCCATCTTACAAAAATATATATTTAAATAAGCATGAACATCTTCAACTTTGTTTCTTTTTTATTGATCATATATTAATTAACTTCTCTTTCTGTTTGTTTGTAAACATTCACACACATGCTGGGACTCTGGGAATGATTTCATGAGTGACTCCTGGGGAATCGATTTGTGTTTCATCAGAAAGACTGTGGCCGAAATCATTGATTAGTGGTTTGACCAGGAGAATTGATTTCTCTTGAATTCAATATACAATCTCGATCTCTTATTCATTGGCCGTGAAAATAATCAACTGATTTAGTCGCTTTTACACTGAAACACATGAACACAAGTTCTCTGAATAAGAAGACACTAAAATGAGGCACTCGTTACTTGGTTTTCCCTCTCTAGTAATCAAAAAACAGGAGTCACTTACCTTTGTGTAATCAATCTGTCTAGCCATATTCTGGACCTGAAATGAAAAGAGAAAAATGTGAATCCAGAGAACATCATGCTGACACAATGAAACCTGAACCGTAATGGTGTTTTGCCACCAGTCTAGAGACTAAAATTTTATTGAATCACTTCAATTAATGATAAAATAGCTGCTAGTCTGCTCAGTTAAAATATCAAACATAATACAGTAAAACTTGCTTAACTGTCTGCTAGCTGCCTTGAGAATCACATAGCTCATATGATTTTTTTCATCACTGTAATGTGAATAAACATACTAAAATAGGAAAATATTTATGCTTCGTGGTTGTATACACTACCATTCAAAAGTTTGGGTTGGTAAAGTTTTATAATGTTTGAATCTGTGTTGAGAGGCTGTATTTATTTGATCAAAAATGCAGTAAAAACAGTCATTTCATGAAATATTGTAACAATTTAAAATAACTCTTTTCTATTTAATATATTGTATTCTAATATATTTTATAATGTATTCTTGTGTTGGCAAAACTGTATTTTCAGCATCAATTTAATGCGTCCTTTCTGAATAAAATTATTAATTTATTAAAACAAAAACACAAAAATTTACCAACCTCAAACTTTTGACAGGTAGTTTTGACAGCTAGTATATGTTGTATTTAGTGGTCAACCGATATTGGTTTTTTGACAGCCGATGCCGATATCTTGGAAAGCAGGGGGGCCGATAGCCGATATAAAGCCGATTTAATTTTTTTAATTTTTATTATTAATATTTAAGAAATTTGAAATCATTTGACAATGGATTAAAAAATAAATGTATAAAATAAACATACTTGTACTTTAGATGACAAAGTATTTTTCACAAATAAATAAATATTTAATAAAAATATCATTAAAATGGAAGTAAACACTGTAACCAACAGGGTACTCAGCATTCTGGGAAGTTTGTGTGCACTGGGAATCATATTTTTCAAATAAAGCAAGGATGTAACACATATAAAACGCAGCATAATTTGAAATCACGAGTTTAAAGTTTAAAGCATTCAATTCACATGGACCGACCGTCACAGAGAACACGCGATCGTGCTGGATAAAAATGCACACTTCACAAGATCTCACAGCTGGATTCGACTAAGTTTGCAAGGTTTGAGAAATTAAATGTTTATTAGTCATTCAAAGATTTGTTTAAATTATATAAATACGTATTTGCTTAATGCTGATGGCAAACAAGAAAGTATTACAATGTTTGCCTTTCTATTACTAATAATATAAAAGCAATCGTTATAATACTTTCTGTATACATTAATTCCTTTGTTTAACCGTTCTATCGGATTATTAGACCGACTTCTATCCGTATTAGACAGAACTGTTAAAAACGACAGTAAACAAGAGGGAGAATGTGAGCATCGTGTGCTCAGGCGCTGCCGCTCTCAGCGCCGTCAAAATAAAAGTTCCACCTCGAACACATCGGCCAAGCAGAAAAAGTTATCGGCCAATGCCGATATTTGAAGAATGCCAAATATCGGCCGACCACTAGTTGTAGTGCCTATTAGTTTATGCTGATTTTTGTTTTTAATTGATTTTTGTTTTTATTTTTTTACATTTTGTAGTGAAATATGTGAGATGAGATTCACCAGGTTATTTTACAGAGAGGCTATGAATGAAGTATCACACAGCTGCAAGTGTTCAGATTTGGTTGTCTGGTACCTGTTTTAGCTGGTGCCGCCATCTCTCAGGTCCTACGATCTGTCTGTGGAAGATTACAGGAGCCGAGTCCAAACTAAACACAGCCGCTTCTGACCCACTCTTCACGAATGGCTGTAGATCAGAGTTTAGCTACAAAGACACACACATATATCCACGAATTTTGTAAAATGAGCTTTCTACACAAAGAGAAAACAGGAGAATGTAACTCAAGCAGACAGTAGGTACAGAGAAACAGCTTGTGCCTGCAATGCATGTATGTGACTGTGCGTACACACCTTGTGTCCCAGAGCGAGGTGTTTTCCGTACTGAAAAGCCAAATTCTGAGCCTCGGTACCATGTCTGGCCAGCTTCATCGCTGCTTGACAACTCTTGGCAAGCAAAGCACCATGGGACAGGAATGTTTGGTCTTCCCAGGATGCAACTGTTAGATTGCCCTCCTTCAGAATACAGAAAAACTCCATCAAATAAGCACTAATGTATTATAAATACTGGGATGTACACTACCGTTCAAAAGTGTGGGGTCAGTAACTTTTTTAAAGAAATATTTGAAACCCGCAAAGATGCAATAAATTAATCAAAAGTGACAGTAAAAACATTTATAATGTAAATATAAATATACGCCGTTATCAACAAATAATAAGATTAAGATATTATTCAATAATGAGAAATGTTTCTTGAATAATGAAAATTCAGCTTTGCCATCATAGAAATAAATTACATGGTAAAATATATAAAAGTTATTAGATTATTTAACATTTTTAATATTTCACAAATTTACTGTATTTCTATCAAATAAATGTGAGCATGGTGCGCATAAGACTTCTCTATAAAAAAAAGCTTACCTACCTCAATTTTTTGAACAGTATTGTTTAACAAGATTTGGGGAACTAGGATAGATCATAAAACAAACCTCCAAAACACTTAAGAAAACGTTTAGAAACACTGAGTTCGATTCCTAAACAAGCAGAATGTTGCAGGAAACTGTCACATTAAACAAAAGAGAGTAAACTAAAAAATGGTGGTATGGCGGTTGGGGGGGGGGGTAACTGGAGGAGGGAAGGTGATGCAAACGTCTGCTCGGAAACGTCTCCTCTAAAAAGGGTAAAAGAAACTTGAATCTCTCTCCCTCCCTTGTTGCATTTCTCTCCATCACTTTTCCTCCTCCTTTTCCCCAGACAGGAAACTTTGTCATTCATTATTTACTGTGAGCAGTTTGCAGATGTTTTAAGTCAGGCTGTGTTTCGCTCTGTTTGGAAATGTTTTGCTTGTTCAGTCTTAGCTCTGTTTTGAAAGCTTTGAATATGAAACATTAAACACTAAAAAGTTTCCTCTGGTACTCGATTTTAATTAATTTATGAGGAAAATAAAGCTTAATCTTAGCAATGACACATATTACATCTCATAGATGGCACATGTTTATTAAAGCAATAAACCAGAGAGGTCGTGCCTTACAGTCATTTACATATGGCTTTGAGTGGTTGCTTCTATAAAACAGGTGACACAACGGGAATATAACAAAAGACAATGTTTCATAAACAGGCACATTACTGTTCAAAAGTTGACTTTATGTTTTTGAAGGAAGTCTCTTATTCTCACCAACGTTGCACTGATTTGATTAAAAATACAGTAAAATATTAAATATTACAAACAATTTCATTTTGGAAATTAATTAAAAATGTAATTTATTCCTGTGATGGCAAAGCTGAATTTTCAGCAGCCATTACACCAGTCTTTAGTGTCACACGATCCTTCAGAAATCATTCTAATATGCTGATTTGGTTATCAAGAAACTTTTCTTATTGTAGTCAATGTCGAAAACAGTTGTGCTGCTTAATATTTTTTGGAAAAATCGTAAAAAAAAAAAAATCACGATTCTTTGGTGAATAGAACATTTTGGTTTCATCCGTTCTTGCTGACTAAAAATGTAAAATTAAACAATGGGGGGAAAAAATCATATCACTATATATTTCGTATATACACATATAAACAAATATACATACACACACACATACATACATACATACATACATATACACACACATATATATATACACATATATATATGTGTGTGTGTGTGTGTGTGTGTAAAGTTTCCTCTGGTACTCGATTTTAATTAATTTATGAGGAAAATAAAGCTTAATCTTAGCAATGACACATATTACATCTCATAGATGGCACATGTTTATTAAAGCAATAAACCAGAGAGGTCGTGCCTTACAGTCATTTACATATGGCTTTGAGTGGTTGCTTCTATAAAACAGGTGACACAACGGGAATATAACAAAAGACAATGTTTCATAAACAGGCACATTACTGTTCAAAAGTTGACTTTATGTTTTTGAAGGAAGTCTCTTATTCTCACCAACGTTGCACTGATTTGATTAAAAATACAGTAAAATATTAAATATTACAAACAATTTCATTTTGGAAATTAATTAAAAATGTAATTTATTCCTGTGATGGCAAAGCTGAATTTTCAGCAGCCATTACACCAGTCTTTAGCGTCACACGATCCTTCAGAAATCATTCTAATATGCTGATTTGGTGATCAAGAAACTTTTCTTATTGTAGTCAATGTCGAAAACAGTTGTGCTGCTTAATATTTTTGGAAAAATCGTAAAAAAAAAAAAAATCACGATTCTTTGGTGAATAGAACATTTTGGTTTCATCCGTTCTTGCTGACTAAAAATGTAAAATTAAACAATGGGGGGAAAAAATCATATCACTATATATTTCGTATATACACATATAAACAAATATACATACACACACACATACATACATACATACATACATACATATACACACACATATATATATACACATATATATATGTGTGTGTGTGTGTGTGTGTGTATATATACAGTGGGTACGGAAAGTATTCAGACCCCCTTAAATTTTTCACTCTTTGTTATATTGCAGCCATTTGCTAAAATCATTTAAGTTACATATTTAGCCTATATATCATCACTCAAAGACATGAAGGTACAATATTACTATAGAAATAACACTTTGCTCAGATGTCACTGCAAATTTCAGTTATTTCTTTATTATCAATATAGTTTGTTTCTCATAGAATGCCACTGGTGGTTATATGTGGCAAGTGCAGTGGGCTGAACGTCATACCTCTGCAGAACTGGAGCTCTCGTGTTAGCCTATATATCATCACTCAAAGACATGAAGGTACAATATTACTATAGAAATAACACTTTGCTCAGATGTCACTGCAAATTTCAGTTATTTCTTTATTATCAATATAGTTTGTTTCTCATAGAATGCCACTGGTGGTTGGTTATATGTGGCAAGTGCAGTGGGCTGAACGTCATACCTCTGCAGAACTGGAGCTCTCGTGATAGATTCCTTGCACCACATCTCCGATTGCACTGGAGATCAGCTCCACCACCTATAACAAACATGATAACATTATAATAACATTATAACACTTAGGCTAGCAAAATATTTTCCACATAAATTAAGCGTCTGCGAATAAGAGTGTTGATAACGGATCAGCCCCATCTGTTCTGAAATTAGTATTTATTAGGACATGAGCTGTTTGGGAATATGGGAAGACTTTTTCCAGTCCACTCAGTCTAAAAGAGCATCTGAGGGACGGACAGATAGAATAACCAGCACTTCAGTTATTAAACAGATGCCATGTCCAGAGGATACAGACCTTAATGAGGACTCTGACATCTGCACAAGCTTAATGATTCAGTTTCTCTCTTTAACACACACACAACCACAGAACTCTACTCCCAGCACAAAAAAATTCTAACAACTACTGTATAGAATATCATCTGATAGTTGAGTTTTGATTGGACTGATCTTTTGAACTACAAATATGTAAATGCAAAATACACACATAAATATAGCAGGTTATATTTTATTCAATCTCATGTTGTTCCAAGCCTGTACCGTATGACTGACTGACTTCTGTGGAACACAAAACAAGTCATTTTGAAGAATTATACTCGCTCTGAAAGAAAACAAGAAAACCAATCCTAAAGGATCTCAACATATATTTTCTCATAGAATTCCAACATAAAGCAAGACTTGATCTTTTAAAATGTAAAATATTAGCTATTAAAATTGCTTTTTTATTAAATAGCTATAAAAATATTAGCTGTAATTACTATAATCAGGATAGATATATATATATATATATATACACACACACTTTGTTGTTTATATAAAAAAACATATCACAAAAACATGTTAAAAGGAATAATATAAAAAAGCAACATGATGAAACAATTTCCACAATCAGAGGTCAATAAAGTTGTTATTCTAAAGACAAATACTGTATAAAAACATGCACCTAGCTCTCCATAACACATTCATGGAAGTTCATGAGAGAAGTAGCAATTGTAAATGAACCATTCTTTTGATTCACATCATTTCAATTATTCAGTTAATCCAGTTCATAAATAAATCTGAATGATGTGTTATGAATCAGACTAGTCCAGACAGGTTAACAGCGGACTAAGATTATTATTGAACAACTTAAATTTTAGTTGTACGATTTCAAAAGTTATATGAAATAGTTTGATAGTGTTTTTGCATCTTTGAAAGCTTAAAAGCATCATTCCTCAAACCGTATAATTAAAAAGAGACCGTTCTATTCAGGTCATTTCTTCAAAATGACTTCTTTTGTGTTCCACTTAATTTTTGGGGTGAATTATTGCTTTAAAGTACTCTGGATCATGTAGTAACCATAGTGCTCCTGAGGGGGGGCGCTACACCGTTACATCTACTCCACAACAGTCAGCTGGACTGAGTCACCGACAGCTCTTTCTTTCATTCAATCACATGCTTTCCTATCCCTTCCATCCATTGCCTTAGCCTACATTCTCCACCTCTTTTTCACCCTTCGTCATTCTTTTTCCTCTTTTCCAGAAAGGCCGGCCTGTTGAATCATAAGATCACAGGCAGAATCTCCAGGGAACTAGAATAGCGGAGGCCTTTCTTCCAGACACTGAGCTATTCCTCATATTTAGTATTATGCTACTCCTCTCCGTTCCCCAAATTTTCTCTCTCAAACTTTGTTTTTCTCACTCTTTCCTTCTCTCCTTTTCTCTCTGCCCTCTGAGTAACCAGATCTTTGAGGAAACAGTGAGGAACTTGACTCCTCTACCCAGAGCCCAGAGAAGACAGAGAGCCCCTATAGCGCAGCCAGATGTGCGGCTTCACACACTCCACACTGAGAAATTAAAGCATGCACGTGTGTGTGTGTGTGTGTGTGTGTGTGTGTGTGTGTGAGAGAGAGAGAGAGAATGCATGTGTGTTTGAACTGTGTGTTTATGTACGTTTATGTATTTTGTGTGAGTTTACATATGTATGTGTGTGTGCGCGTGTGTGTGAAGTGGGGGGGCTTTTTTTGGAAAGTATCAGATAAGCTGCCCTCCCTCCGTCTCGTCTCATTCCCAAATCCAACTGGAGTCGTGTTTCGCCGACAGGTCTGTGAGGAGAAGAAAGAGGAGACAGCCTCTCATGGATCCCTTTACCGTTTATACTAGTGTTGAGCCAGAATCCCACTCTCTCTCACTCAAACACACACACAGTCTACTAAGTCAGGATCCCACTCAAGGCCGCGATACATAATACAGATCAATCAAGGGGAAAAAGCGCTTTGCTGCAGAGAGGGAACGTCTGATTTCCACCGCTAATGCTCTCATGCTAACTGAACCGCTAATGCAATGGGGCCTCGCCCTCATTTACATAGACAGCAGCTTTAAGAGGGAGATGCGTTCGGACGGTTCTGGCTGGGTGGATGTCAGTTACATCAAGAGACTATTAAAAAACTGAACACTTAAAATATATTTTTAATCACTTTTGCTAATTGTAAGTTCATCTGTGGAAGTTTGACTTCTAGCTAAAGAGTCTGATCTCTGATTGGCTGGACATCCTGTCACTCAGTCACTAGTTCAGTGGATCAGAACAGAGTGTGTGTGGTTTTAATCATGGTTCGCTGCACAACAGGTTCAGTTTCACACAAAAAAGGATTTTTACTCACACTCTCTTCAGTATGTGTGTGTGTTCACTAAAGACGAGGGCTTAAAATGACCTTCTGTCCACAGCTGCTAATGGCAACTAAACTGAGAAAATTTATTAAGCACATATATTTTTAAACGACAAAAACTACATTTTGCAGTATTATTTCTTTTTAATAAAAAGTATATAATTATTACTTAGCATTAGTATTATTAGTACGTATACACTACTGTTTGGGGTTGGTAAGATTTTTATTTGATCAAATACAGCAAAAACACTAATATTATGAAATATGATTACAATTAAAATCCATGTTTACTATTTTAATATGCTAAAAATGTAATTTATTCCTGTGGTTGGCAAAGCTGAATTTTCAGAAGTAATTACTCCAGTTTTCAGTGTCACGTGATCCTTCAGAAATCATTCTAATATGCTGATTTGCTGCTCAAGAAATATTTCTCAATATCAATGTTGAAAACAGCTGTGCTGCCTAATATTTTTATGGAAACCGTGATGTTTTTTTCAGCATCTTTGTTGAATAGAAAGTTCAAAAGAACAGCATTTATTTGAAATATAAATATTTGAAACATTTGAAAGAAATAATGAAACATTATAAATACACTTACTGTCATTTTTAATCAATTAAATGCATCCTTGCAGAATAAAAATATTAATTTATTTTAAAAAAATTACTGATTACTTTTGAACCGAAGTGTACGTGTCTTCATCTGTCTGTAAAACTACCCAGTCTCAAAAAAACGTTTACATTACAAGGTTCAAACCATCATTGTTACAATGTCAATTTGCATTTAAAAAAATTTATATTTAAATCACAGATGTAGACAGAAACAGACAAAAAGGTTAAGTTTTCAAAATAATAATATAATAAATAAAACCTTCCTTAAATCGTTAAACTAGAGTTGAGGCGGACACTGAGGCATCAAAAAAAAGCACTAAACAGGTGAGAGAGAGAAAGTTTTCCACTTTCGTCCAGCAGGAGGTGCTATAAAACACGCCAATACATACTTCTAAACCCACTGAATTACACCACACCATCTACCTAAAGAAAGTCTGTACTAAACACACAGACAAAATCAGGTGCAAGACCTGACTGTAAGATGTCTGGCTGTCTGAATGCTGAGCTCCTCTTGAGCAAAAAAAACAAAAAACACATAATCTGTTCTTTATATTAGTGCCACAATCTGCTGATCGCCTAAATCCCCTGCAGTCATTTCCGTGTCCGGTCATGCACACATTAAAGTGAGCTTGAGTGTGCGTCCATGTGTCTGAGGCTACACAGAAGGAAAAGAGTTTGTTTTCTTCCACGGGGAGAGCTGCATTCTAGAGCCGCACTTGGTGACAGATCCTGTCAGCATACTCCTGCATAGTGCATCTGAGTGTGTCTGTGTGTTACAGAGACACATAGACATGAAATGTTAGGGTTTGTAGTGCAAATCCCTTTTTACTTAGTCTGTTAATATTATGATATGACAAGCAATTTCCTCTAAAACAGTGAATCCCAACTAGTGGTACGTGTAGGTGTACTTAAGTAGGTCTTGGAAAGAGTGCCATTTGTATGATGCATTGTGTTGCTGCCTATGTAGCGCGTTTCAATTCAGTAACCTATAATGGTCTACTTGATTTTGAGCCCAGCTTACGTAGCTAGAACAGAACCTATGAGTTAAAAGTAACACACTTCAGGGTTATTTGAGCAAAATCAATAGGACTCTAGGGGTGCATAACAGAAAAAAGGTTGGGAAACACTGCTCTAAAATGTCCTGATGTATCCTACCATCACTTTCTATCTGTACTGGCCATTCATAACGCTGTAAGATATTCAAAAAGACGCTCTAGTGAGATGCTGTAACCCTGAGCGGAGTGAGGCAGTGGGGCTGCTGGCCTCATGCAGTTAGACGGTGCTTTGACTGCGACTCTAATTAGAGCTGGAGGAGAACACTGACACTTAATGAGGGGTGTAGGAGACATATGCTCACACACTCGCACACACTCATATAGAGCACAAGAGAATGAGGGAGAATGCAAGTGTATGGAAATTAGAAAGAGAGGACACACACAGCGTTCAGCATGGAGAACAAAGTCTTTGAGAAGGAAGTCAGAAGCTGGTGAAATGATTTTCTTCAGTGTTTTGCATAAAAAACAAATGTGATGGAAGTGGCTCACACCTCTAGTATGAAGAGATGCGTTTCTCTATTTAGCTATTTTTTAGTACTAAAATACCAGAAGTAAGCTAAATCTGACAAAACCTCTATTTGGGGATTACTGGGATGTTCTCAACTGGATAAATTATTCATAGTAATTCTGTATTCATGTATTTCTTAATTATGAAAATGCTAAATAAATAAATAAAAATAAATAAATACATTTAACAACCCTTCCCTTTTAGGATTTTCTTAATGATATTTTTGAATGTCCTTATCTTCAAATGTCTGGGGCAGTTAAGATTTTTTAGTCAAGTCAAGTCAAGTCTGCTTTATTGTCAATTCTTCCACATGTACAGTACATACACAGAGAATTGAAATTGCGTTACTCTCAGACCCTTGGTGCATACAGATAACACTAACAGTAGAACATAAATACAGATAGATACAAATTAAATATAAAATACAACTATACAAATATACAAATATATAAAGCAGCACAAGGCACATGGCAGATAGAGTGCAAACCAGTGAAGTAAATAACAGTGCAGATATAATGATTTGTAGGCAATGTTTTTGTAATGTTTTTGAAAGAAAACATGCTCACTATGTTTGCATTTATTTGATCAAATATACAATAACAACAGCAATATTCTGAAATACTATCACAATTTAGAAGAAATGTTTTCCATTTAAAATAACTATTTTAATATATTTTTAAATGTAATTTATTCCTTTGATTGCAAAGCTGAAATTTCCTTCCACACGATTTTTCAGAAATCATTCTAATATGATGATTTTTTGCTCAAGAAACATTTCTTATCATCATCTATGTAGAAAAATGTTGTGCTGCTCAACATTTTTGGGGGGATTCTTTCATGAATGGATTTATTTGAAATAGAAATATTTTGTAACTATATAAATGTCTTCAAATGTCACTTTTGATCAATATAATGCAATCCTGCTGAATAAAAGTATTAATTTCTTTAAAAAAAAATCTTACTATTCTCAAACCTTTGAATGGTAGTGTGGATAGCTAGGAAAATGTGTACAGATTATTATTTGTGCACAAATTTTACAACAACGAACTCAGAGCAGGGTTTCTTTCATTACGGAGCCTGGAGCAAGCGAAGAGCAGGCAATGGAAAAACCTGGAGACTTTTTACAGAACTCATTAAATACCTTGGTGTCATTGAGCTGGGCCAACCCCGTGCAGGCATTCGCCAACAGGAAATCGCCACTCAGAACGGCCATCTTGTTCCCAAACTGCATGTCTTTGAGGGGGCCGTCCGAGTTCGTCCACTCCTTCAGATTAACAATCCCACGATGCACCAGGAAGGCTGTGTGAATCAGCTCTGTGATCTCAGCCAAGTTCCTCTGACTGACAAAGAGACAGAAAGAGAGAAATATTGTGATTCTGAGAGGGTATTACATCTATAAACAGTCCCAGATGCTATAGCACACTTTATATGGAAAGGGAGTGATTTTAGCCCAAATATTCTTCTGCAGAACAAATAAACCTGAGAGAGTGTCAAGTGTCCTGGTGACCATAATGCACTTCACAAAATACCAACTGCCACTGATTATCAGACGTGCCCTGCCCGATTATCACAACGCCATCACACGGACGTTATAATCAAATGTTGATTTGCAGGACCATAATCAGCTTGGACCATTGAGGTCTCAGCGATAACCACCTTCCAGACACAAGACAGAGACGTTAGCGCTGATGACCACTTACCCCTCCTTCAGAGTGAGAGACGTGGAAAGTAAAGAGGGTGAGAGAATGAAGAAAAAGCATATTTGATGAAGGGATTCTCTTCAGTTTGGCAATGTGAGAGAATCGCTGTGGCCGTTTCTGCTCACACACACACAAGTGCTAAGTCAATGCTTGGGTAATTACAAAGCACTGCAATAATTCTTGTTGTCATTAAATGCTGTTCTTTAATGGACCATCTCCTGGGCTCAATCATCCCTATTGTGCAGTGCTCTCTTGTCCATGCAGCCACCGATCCCGGGCAGTTTCACTTCAGATGACACTGGCGCGTTGGCTGAGTTAATACAGATCTGAGATTTTGATGTGGCTTACAATGGATGAGGATTACTGGGGAAACTCAAACATAATTTAAAGAAGTGTAATTGTATGTATCTATCATCTCAGGTCAAGAGTTGTAGGGACCTACTTGTCTTTTGTTATCCTGATGAATACGAAATGTCCACTTTTTGCAAGCCTAACCAATCCTGAGGGAAGTCCCACCCAACATTTTTCTCAATGAATATCCTGTTTCGCTCAGAAATGCAACTGATTATGGAAGTAAAATGTGTAGTGAATAGCATTTTATGTTGACTATAAATGCAGGCCAAAAGTTGTCTTCTACAAAAGATTTGAGATCTCAGAGCCTGAAAAAGTCTGTAGGACTACGTTCACATGTGACACGGGTCTGTTCTTGAAAGATATTGTGAACAGCCCAAATCATATTAAATGTGACATTTTTAATTAAAATAAAAAAATTACTGAATTTAAAAATAAAGAATTAAAAAACACAGTGTGAACTGACCTAAAATGCTTTAGATGTGACATTTGTCATTTACAATTTTTAAATAAACTAGATTTAAAAATAAAAAAACTAAATGAAAAAGAATAAAAATTAAGAATTTAAAATACATGAACAGCACAAAATGCATAAAATGTGACATTTTAAGTCAGTTTTGTAAAATAATGTAAAAAATTACAACTGCAAAAATGAAATGTAATAAAAAATTAAGAAGAAATGTAAAAAAAATACAGCATGAATAGTCTGATATAATGTTTTATCATTCATAATCATTCACTATCATTGGCGTACTTAAAAAATTACTGAATTTAAAAATAAAGAATTAAAAAACAGTGTGAACTGACCTAAAATGCTTTAGATGTGACATTTGTCATTTACAATTTTTAAATAAACTAGATTTAAAAATAAAAAAACTAAATGAAAAAGAATAAAAATTAAGAATTTAAAATACATGAACAGCACAAAATGCATAAAATGTGACATTTTAAGTCAGTTTTGTAAAATAATGTAAAAAATTACAACTGCAAAAATGAAATGTAATAAAAAATTAAGAAGAAATGTAAAAAAAATACAGCATGAATAGTCTGATATAATGTTTTATCATTCATAATCATTCACTATCATTGGCGTACTTCATTTCCATTAGTGTGGAAGACAATGAGACCACAGAATGCCAATAATACAATTTCTGCACTTTTCCGCCTCCTTGCCCTTGTTCTTAATTGATGTGTAATTTCACGGCAGCCTCCATGAAACATGAGGTTCATAATGATTGCCTCCATTTATTTAATTCAGATTAACATGCCAAGTTTGACTATTTTAATGCCACATTTAAAAGTTCATGTCAGTCAAAAAAAAAGGGGGTAACATTTAGCTGCAGTGTGAATGTGGCCAAGGTGTGCGAATGTGCGTGTGTCCTTCTCAACACCTTGTGGCTGCCAGCACGGAGTTGCTGATTTGACCACTCATTAGTAATAGTGATGATATTTGTGACTAGTGTTTTTTAATTTATAGTTTTCTGTACTGAAATTATTTTTATAGTCTTTGTCTCCGTCATCCTTGGACTGGCTGCAGTGTTTTGGCTGTGTGCAGACAGACGGAGTTGAATCGAAATCTAATTTCCCCCCAAATCTGCTGCTATGCTGTCTACATTTTTTTTTTTTTGAAGTCAGTGGGAGGGGCAGCACAGGGAGTATAAATAGCCTCAGAACTCAGTTGCATAGCAACCGATGCCATGGCGCAGAGGGGTTCCGCCCCCTGACACGCCTCCTTTCTCTGTCTGCTCCATTTTCTCTGCCAATTTAACCCTGAAGCGCAGTGGAGCGTGTGCCTGCAAGCTCACAGCAGATCACCTTAGAGGTCAAGATGTCAGTTGACCAAAAGCATCACTAAACCTGTCACACAGTATCTCAGCCAGATGATGTTTTGATGAAAGATCAGAGATGGTTTTGCTTCTAAACTCGTTATGATGCGAGTTCAACTCTTAACACAAGACACACACAAAACACCACAGAAACCACCTATATAACTGCCAGCACTAAATAAGACTGTTTCTTCTGTTCAGTCTGCTCTATTCAGCATACGGTATGTCATGTATATTAAAAAAGAATGTATATCTTTTAAAATGTTAGGCTTGGTAAGATTTTTTTGTGTTTTTGAAAGAAGTCTCTTACGCTCACCAAGGCTACATTTATTTGATCAAAAACACAGGAAAAATACTGTGAAATACAGAGTTCTGGCATGAAACTCTAGATGGCGCAGTCCGATAGGTCTAGCTCAATCTGACCTAATGACATCATTATCACATGGCACAGCTGATTGGTTCTCTCCTGTATCGGTAGCCAATAATTGAGCTCGCTGCTCAACATTCAAATATATGACTAGAAGTGATGGGAAGTCCGGTTCTTTCGGACAGTTCATTTCAATGATACGGTTCAGAAAACCGGTTCATCGGTTCTTTTACGCCCTAACGTAATGATGTAATTCGCGATGACGTAATGATGTCAAGTCTATCGTCCCGGGCCTGGATGAAAATTCACATTCAAATATATAAAGTCAGTAATTATAACTTCAGTCAGTTAAAACAACATAATCATGATCTGAAAAGTTTACAATTAAGTTTTGCAACTAAGCACCCAAATACAGTAACAGGCAGTGATGTGCATATGAGGATTTAAGTCTTGAAGATATAAAGTAAATAAATTAGTTGTCATCAGCGCAGAAACCATAATCCACTTACTATTCATAATCCATTTTGATTTATTTGTTATTAAATAAACTTACATTTCGCAAGATTGCTCTTCGTTCAAGTCTTTGGTTTACCCGTGCTCATAACATTAGCACAGAATCAGTTGTCCAAAAGAACCAGTTTGGTTCAGACGTGCTGTCAGTCATAGCAGGCAATCTGTTCGGTAGCTTCATGCTGAATCGTGCATGCGCAGTATCATCAGCTCACCGGTTCTCAAATCGGACGCGTCCAAAAGAAACGGTTCTTGGTTGAGTGTACTGGTGATCCGAAAACCGATGCAACCGGTTCTTGACTCGAGAACGAGAACCGCTCAACATTAGCACAGAATCAGTTGTCCAAAAGAACCAGTTTGGTTCAGACGTGCTGTGTCAGTCTAGTAGGCAAGAACCTGTTAAATCGAACGATTCGTTCGTGAACCGGACATCACTAATGACTAGTGCTTGCCATAGCAGTTGCAGCTTGCTTCAGAACAGCGAAATCAACATCTAAGATAAGCGAATGCTCTTCTAATCCATATCGCTGTATGTATTGCGTGGTCTGCCAAATTGAATTCAATAATGAGCAACCATAATCAAGTTTAAACTAAGTGTCATGTTAGCAGTTTGCATTGTATGCAGGAGCGAATATTAAGCATATTAGCAGCAGCATTTAGCATCTGTGTTTATACAGCTGGAGCAAAACGCAGTTTAGAGCATATGTAATCGCTCTGAGGACACATCTTGTGTATGCATTTCAATGGGGGTTCGCCATATACATCGGTGATTATCCCAGTGTTCACAGTCGTTATTTCTATGGTCGATGTTTTCATTGTGATGAGTTTGTGGTTGATTTCAGCTGCACACAGCGTCAGAAGCACACGCTTATCGCAGTCATATCAATGACAGTGTTGCGGGAGACGCTGAAGGTCACTATCTACGGAGGTAACAGTTAGTTCCGAGTGAAATGCATTATGGGTAGTGTAGTTCGGAGAAATGTGCTTTTGTGGCGTGCTCTCGCTGTGCTGTGTAATTCAGAAAATGGAGAAAGAACATTTATATTCTAACGTATATCCATTTTGTTAATTAAACATTACACATAGTGTGCGTCTAATTAGAGTTAAGCCGGTCGGCGTGGTAGCCAAGGCTCACATAGTCATAGGCCACTAGTGTTAAACCGGTCGACGTGGTTGCCAAGGCTGACATAGTCATAGGCCACTAGTGTTAAACCAGTCGACGTGGTAGCCAAGGCTCAAATTGCCATAGGCCACTATTGTTAAGCCGGTCGGCGTGGTAGCCAAGGTTCAAAGTGCCATAGGCCACTATTGTTAAGCCGGTCGGCGTGGTAGCCAAGGCTCACATAGTCATAGGCCACTAGTGTTAAGCCGGTCGGCGTGGTAGCCCAGGCACACATAGATAGTAATACATGTGGTTCACATGGCTCTTCGGAGCAGCCGCAGTACATATGTCTTGGCGATAGATCTGCTTGTTGGGGGTTTGCCTTGTATTGTCCCTTCTATGTCCCCTGCTTTGTGGGGGGTTATTTCATGTATGTTTTATTTGCAGCAGCAATATTTCTTACATGCTCACAGCAGCATGTTGTGGCAGTAGTAGGTCTCGGTACTTGCGGTCTGTAAATACATTAACATTGTCCTGTACATTACCATGCCAATCCCTCCGAGAGTTGTCATGACACGAATATTATTATAATTTAAAATAACTGTTTTCTATTTAAATATATTTTCAAATGTAATGTATTCTTGTGATGATAAAGCTGAATTTTCAACAACCATTACTCCAGTATTCAGTGTGTCACTCTATATCAGTATCATTCTAATATGCTGATTTGCTGCTATCAACATTGAAAACATTGTAAATAGTAATACATTTTCTTACTTTCTTTGATGCTTTCTTGAGGCTTTCTTTGATGCTCAGCCTCAAATTTCTTTGATGCTTTGATGAATCGAAAGTATAAACGAACAGAATTTATTTTAAATATAATTTTTGTAACTCTATAAATGTGTTTACTGTCAATTTTGATCAATTGAATGCAACCTTGCTGAATAAAAGAACTAATATCTGACCCAAACTTCTGAACGATAGTATAAGATTTCATTTTCAGTTAAACATTTGCACTCATTAAATTTGTCAATCAGTTAGATTCTGTAATGTTCATAACAAAAAATAAATAAGTACAAATAAATAAACATCAATGTCAAGTTGCAAAAAATCTGAATATTGCAAAAACAATTTGCGAAAAAAGCAGCAATTCCATCTCTTTCAGGGAAATTGGTGCAATAAAAAAAATGCAATTATTCAGTCGCATGACTTGAGGCACTTCTCTGAAGCAAATCTTGTAATTTATTCATTTTTCCATCATAGTTTGTGTGCATGTCTTCTTACCGAATTAAACAATGTAACCATCTTAAGTGAGTGTATCATGCACTTTTTAGAAATTTCATTCACATGTTGGTCTTTCTACCCAGTGAAATATTAAAATTTCCTTTAAAAAAAATTCTTCCACCAGGATGCCATAATGTCTAATAATCTAAAACAAATTCAAGAGGACTTTAGGAGATAACAAAGCAAACTTTTAGTGACTACAATGCTTTTTTTCAGCTTTCGGACACAGCCAAAGTCTGCTGAATGTCACACTCGAGTTTCATAGGTCCCTTAAAAGAACTGTCGAGCAATCATTCAAACAGACGTCTCTCTCAGCAAGATGCACTCGTGCATGTATGCGATCCCCCCCCCCCCCCCAAACCATGAGCATTTCTGTCAAAGTGAACACACACACTTACCATGCACACACAACCACACAACACAGTGTGTGTGAGAGAGAAAGTGACTCAAAGGGACATTTTACAAATGCTGCATGTCAAGGAGGAGGAGAGCAGCACAGCAATCCATCCATCACCACCATCAAACACACCTCTAACCAGGAACGAGAGAGCAAAAGGTGTCATCGGAAGAGGGAGGGAAGGGGGGAAGTTGAAAGGAAAGAGAGACGACTGACAAAGAAAGAGAAAAATACAGACAGAGAGGAAGAAAAAAAGCTCTATATGTTAGAAAGAGGTATGCCTTCCTTTTGCTGAACACAAAAGGAGAAATTTAGAAAAAAATTCTGGTCTAAAGCACAATAATAGTATCACAAAAGGGGTCCAGACAATGTGTGCATCATATTTAAATTCCCCTCCAGATAACTGTTAATGGGATCACGTAGTTGAACAGTTCAGTCCAACTGTAATAATTAATTGTGAATCAGAACAACTGATTTACTAAATAAATAAATAAAAAGATTCAGAAGAATGTCTGATTCATGAATGAATCTTCACTACTTCTCTCTTCTCTCCTAAATTTTGATCTAATTATCAGCAAACTGAACAGTTCAATCCAAATGTAAATGAATCACTCAGAATCATTCATTGTAAACCAGATAAACTGATTCATGGAAAAGATCCGATTCAGAAGAACGTCTGATTAATTCAGAAATTTGTCTGACATCATTCTCTTCTAGCTTAAATTTGGTTCTATTTGTCACACAAGACAAGCATACAACTTTAGAAAATTTGGAATATAGTATATTGAAAAGACTAGCCAGGATATTTTTCATTAATTCACTTTTTGTGTTCCACAGAAGAATTAAGTCATACAGGTGTAAAAATAATGACATTTTTGGGTAAACTATCCATTTAAATGCGTGTAATTGTTTGGATGTGTGTATGTGCGTTTCTCCATCACTCACTTCACCCTTTTTTAACACACACACACACACACCCACGATGGGTCAGCCTTGAGTCTTACAAGCCTCAGGGCAACTACATCACCATCTTGTTTCCATGACACCCACCTTCCAGCTGTGGAACTATGAGGTCACTTCCTCTTTAGTGGGAAATGTGGGGTTGTAGAAGCAAGAAAATGAGGGGAAAGTGTAGCGATGTGTGGTGGTCCCTCCTCTCACTTGCTTTGACACTCTCTTTCCCCACTCGGCGAGAGAGAGAAAGAGTTCATTCAGACAGCTTGCGCATGCACACACACACACACACACACACTCACTGCCAAGTACAACAGCCGCTTCTGGTAACTCCCTGGCACTGCAGCCAAAGGACTTACACACACACACACACACACCAGCCTGTTTAGAGCAAGAGTCCTTCTGAAGCGCAGCAGTGGAAGTGGTTGCACAAGAGTGTGTGTGCTGCATGTGTCAATTTCTTGTCCTTAACTGGACATAATTTACCCTACACACACTTTCATATCCTGTTTCCGATGATCTGTCTATTACACACACGCATGCAACACAGTCACCATAGATCTTGTTTTGCAATAAACCTTGTTCTCACCGAAATCAATGCTACGCTTTAAAAACAAATGTCATGCTCTTTTTTCACTTTCGCTTATGGAAAGAGAAAACGGCTACATTTCTAATAGGCCTCAGGTGAAATTGGAACCTCATCGTCTCTGAAATACAATCTTCAGCGGCCTGTAGCTTTCAAGGTGTCCAAATGAAAAAACTTCTCTAAACCTGATGCCCGGATACCGGCCAAGAATATGTTTTTTCTTTGTTTAATTTTTATTAATCTCTCTCCACCTCTCCCACCACGAACACACACAAGCAAGCACTTATATGCTGACATTGAATACTTTTGGGAAGTTGACATCTCCTGCGGTGTGATATGCTATACTCCTAAAACTGACATGCTATACTATATCTAAAACCACTGATGGCGGTCTGTAAAACAAAATAATTGGGGTATGATATTAAAACGGCTATATTAAAATACAGCTACAACTTTAAAAACCACAACTAACACATTGTGACTTGAAGATCCTTCATCAGGGTGTGGATTTGAGCAGGCAAACTTTATTTAAAGAGTTGAAGACAACTTTAACAAACAGTGTCCGCTGTAATATAATACCTCACAAGGTTTGTTTCATAGATTACAAAGGCTTCTCCACAGAGCAGCAGAGAAGGTAACTGTATATTTTTTGATTGCTTAAACAACATTTTGCCAATTCTTTTGTAATTACCATGACTTTCCATAACCTTGAGAGACTGCATGGAATATTTGTACTTTAAAAAATGCATTTGTCACCAGACTAGACCATTTAAAATGATCTACTGAGGGCAAAATGTGTCCTGTAAAGCCTGAAATAGTTTACTGAATCTTTTATTTTTAAAAAGTTTGCATATGTGTTTTATGTATGGGACATCAGGATTTTATGGTCCATATATTATGATATAGTGAGAATATGGAGATGATACTCAAAGAGGAAAAAAACTCTGAAACGGAGCAAAAATATGCAGTTGGTGTAGATGTGTTATTTATATGGCTAAAAAGTAAGATGAAAGTCTCATGATTTCACAGCAAAAAGACATGTTTACTACGTGGACATTTTTAGAATCAAAGGCCCTTTACTTACTAAACAAGTATTAATTATTAATCAGGATGCAAATAGTAGATTGTGTGCAAGAGGTGTTTCAGCAAGAGGTGTTTCAGCAAAGTTTTGATCATGTTGATAATTTAGAGACCTAGAAAATCATGTATTAAATATGATACAGTTGGCTTTACAAGGTTGCAAATGATGATCTAGTCTATGGACATGTTATGTGTAAACTAGCAATGTCTATAGATAACACAAACAGTCCTTCCCCTCTCCATATTCTTTTCTCTTGCTGTCTTTCAAACATCTTTCTGTCTGGTCTCCCTCCCTCTCTCACTTTTACTAAGCCTTTGTGTGGTAGCAATCATTTCTCACTTATGGCCAAAGTTACAAGCTGTTAGAGCCCCATGACCCTTAGAAAGAGAAAAAAAAAAGAGAAAGAAAGGTATCTTTACCTGGGGTAGATGCCGCTGACCATACCATCACAAATCGGGTCACTGTTACTGGGACATGGACCGGCTGCTTTTGACATTAGCAGCACAATGAGACCTCGCATTTGTAGATTATTCCGGCTGTCATACACAAATCCTCTATTTAAAAAAAAAAAAAAAAGATTACATATCACATAACATACATTTTTATAATTAGCTGAATTAAATAGAAAATAAATCAGTGTTACACGATCATTTAGAAATATTTCTAATATGGTAATTTTTTTCTCAGAAAACATTTCTTATTATCAATGTTGAAAACAGCTGCACTGCTTAAATTTTTTTTTTTTTTGGAAACCGTGATGCATTGTTTTTTTTTCAGAATTCTTTCATGAATATAAATATTCATGATGAATATTTAATGCATCCTGGCTGGATAATAAGTATTAATTTCTTTTAAAAAAATGCATGTAAGTGTTCCAAGGCAACAGCATCAACTGCACATTTTCACTGAGTCATATGTGAGAACCATTAATGAGTCAGGCTTACAGTACTCTGTGCTGATGGCCATGACTCCCCATCAAACCATTCAGAGTGAGAAATAACGGTGAAGAGTGATTCATCAGCTAATTAAATAATCATAATGATCAAAAGCCGCTAGAGATTGTAGAGTTTCTCCAGGATCTGCTTCAAAACATTGAATTATAAAATAACACTTGCACTTAAAGGTGACATATCTTGAAAATCTAACTTTTCCAGGTTGTAAGTGCTATAATCAGGTCCTTGGTGCATCTACCAACCAAGGAAACGTGAAAAAGATTAACCCAATCACTTTGTTTTGGGAAGCCTTTTTCTGCAAGCGTCTGAGAAAATGAGCGCGTCTGATTTCGCTCCCTTGGTGACGTGGCAAAGGGATCTCATTATAATATTACCGCCCCTTAATCTGTAAACTTCCACTCAAGGCACCGTCATTTTGATTTTGCAAGTGACAACGGTGTACCAGCTCTAATGCCGTGGCGAAAGTTTGAGCAAAACAAGCTAACTGTTCTGTCTTTAGCTGCACAGACGAGCACAGAACACTATTTAGAGTCCCAGCCTCAGAGGAGACAACAGAGCAGTGGATTTATTGATTTATTTAGGCTACTGTATATTGCTGCTGCCACACAGATCTAAAATAAACAAGCGATTTATTTCCCAGCTGTTTACCTTCACAGACATAACCGACTGTTTTTGTAACTCGTGTGTTTTTAACGTAAACTTGTGTGTGAATGAGAACTTAGTTTAGTACTCACATGCTGTGACAGCCGCTTTCTGTACGTGTGCTTCGGATGTGTGCGCTCAGAAAACCGTATATCAGAAGTTTAAACTCATATGGTTTAAAACACATGATTTCAGCACGATAAACATGATAATCAGAACCAAAACAGATGTTTTTAGCAGATACGAGCTGTAAAGGCGCAGGAACAGCCACTATAAAAAGTTACTATTTTTATTTATATGTTGTTCTATAAATCAAGGCCATATAACTCTTTGCAAATATCTACAACTGTCTAAAAATTTAAGAAAACTTCAGTTTTCTTCTAGAAGGTCATCATGGGTCTGGATCTGAACCTCTTGAACGATAAAAACAATACACTTAAAATAAATAGACTGGCATTGAAGGAGGGACCCAAGATGTATCTAAGGACCAGAGTATATTCACACAGTGTTTGGAATTGACAAAAGCATTTACTAGCAGGTGTGGCTCTCAAAATATCCTGTTCCTTCAACAGCAGCCAGGAACAGTTTGAAAACTGTCTGTGTGAATGAGTCAATAAATTGTATCCCCATTTCTATTCTCATCGTAGCCATTAATACCACCTGTAACCATAGTGGCAGTGATAAAATACATTTTCATGGCCAAATTTAACCCGTCACTTCAGTTAACATATGAAAAGTGTGAACAGAATCATTACCCGGATTGACAGCTGTATTATGCCATTATCTAAATGCAGCTACAGAGGGTTACATGGACTGCTGAGCAACTACCCAGAACACCCTAGCAACCGCATAGGTGTGCCCTAAAAAATACTTGGATGGAATTAATGAGGTCATAAATAGAAACACACACACGCACACACAAACACTCAGAACTCCTTAGCAACCACATGGCAACACCCTAGCAAGCACTTGCAAAACAATAGCATTATAGTAGTGACTTCTGCACATGCAAGAACCACAAACCACTTACAATTCTTCACAAAATGTAAAAAAAAATCTAGTTCAATAAGAGGTCATTCACACAGAACACATTTTTGCAGGGAGTGAAATTTAAAAAATTCAAGGTGTTTTTTTTAAGCTAAACTTTTAACTTGAATGTTGTTGTTTTTTTAAATGCCATTTCATGCACAAGACGAGAACGCAACATTCAAAGACGCCCATCTAGAGCATGTTTACATAGAAAAACAACAAAGCAGTGCAGTGGAATACAAAAATACGCTCTGTTTGAACAGCCTCTAAAACCAAAATTTGACTAATACTGTCATCTGGCAACTTTATGAAAATAAAAGTTTCTAGTATGTGTGTGTGACTGTCGGGCCTCACCATATCCTAATTGTGTTTAAATGAAATGCACAGTGTCATATTAACGAGCCAGCATGTCGTTCCAATACAGTTTCGCCCTCTTCTCACCTCCCATCTCTCCATCTTTCACTGTCTCTCTCTCTCTCTACGGAGGAGGAAACAGACACACAAAGACACATGCAGGCTTGTTAATCACAGTTCCACGAGGGGGTCTCAGAAGCAGAGGTCATCGCTGTTATGAGCTAGTCGGTCTTTCAACATCATGATTAATTTGCATTTGTATGACAGTTAGTGGTTGGTTCTGTGCAAAGGCGTTTAACCCCACTGACCCTTTACTCGGCTCTATTATCTGTTTAAAATATACATACAATACAAATAACTTTCTTATAATTGCCTCCTAAGGACAGAGTAGCAAAAATGACCAAAGGCCTTTTTGCTCTGAAACAAATATTCTGCATTTTGATCATTTTAGAGACACTTAATAAATATTTCAACCGACAATTCCCCCACATAAAGATGTGTTTTTTAAAGGAAAGTTGTGAGAAAACAGCCGACTATCTATGATATAAAACCAAATTTTTTTGTCTTCTAAATGAGCACCCTGCAATCCTATTATATTTCAAACTAAATTAAATTAAAATAACATTTATAGCAAAAATATGAAACTGTTGCAGATATACATTTTACAACAAGGTGTAATATCAAAAACAGTGACCTTAAAAGTAAAAAAAAATTAATTACTATCAAAAAGAACACAGTAAGGGGCCACTCACACAGAAGTTTTAACTTTTAAAAATGCAAGACATGTCAGTGGAAAGAAAAAACCCCACAAAATTCTTTACATTTTTTTGTACAAGATGCTGCAAAATATGCAAGACGCATACATAATCACTTCCATCTAGCACATGTTTACATAGAAAAACAATGGAAAAGCAACACAGTGAAATGCAATGTTCTGTGTGAATAGCCCCCTAAGGAATGATTTACATAAAACACATTTTTGTGTTTAAAAACATAAGACGCTGGGCAGTGGAATTAAAAAAAAAACATTACTTCAGCGCCATGTTTTTTAGAACATGCGCAATAAAATAGATGCAATATACACAAGCACAATGATCAAACACATTTGTCTAGTGAATGGAAAAGCGCTGCAGTGGAATACAAAAATGTGTTCTTAGTGAACGCCCCCTATTGTTCCATGACAACCTACTGTTCAGTCAGTGAACTAGTCATCTGAGCATATCAGTAAGGAAGTGAACTGTCTGAGCGTCAGAGTCATTAAATTGCACCAACTGAAAATTCCATTGGCAAATTGGAGCTTGTGCTGTATGTTTGGGGGATACAATCATCTCTGGTTGCCGGGCAATGAGGCACAATGCAGTTACCGTGACGACAGGGGCTGTAATCCCGTCTCCAGGCAGAGAGTCACTTGTCATGAATCACAACTGTGGTAATCGAGATGTGATGACACCCAGACATGCCCACTACCAAACAGCCCAGCAAGAGAGAGAGAGAGAGAGAGAGAGAGAGAGAGAGAGAGGTGGGCAAGAAATATCATGACAGAATGAAAGAATAAAGGAGAGACTGGAGACATTTAAGGTACAAATGAGGAATATATCCGAGAGAGAGAGAGAGCTGGAAATACATAAAAGTGGCTGATAACAGGACAATCAATGAGTGTGGTTACATAGATTATTTTACATAGAATATGCTTAATAATAACCCAATACTGTGTTGGTCATATAAATGCCTTAAACTCTATTCTTATCAGGTAAGGTAAACCTAAATGGTTTAAGTGAAACCTGATCAGCACACCCCTATTACTCAGATTTCAGTCTTCTGGTGGCCAGTATTATTTATATACTATTACAGTATTTATTAAGTAGTATTTTTTGCTTGCTTACTTGGATGTGTGTGTGTGTGTATATATATATATCACAGAAGTAATAAAACTCATGATGTTACAGGAAGGTTTGATGAAAACATGAAAACACACAACTGCGACAATATATGGCTTATCTGTGTTTTTCAAGCCATCTCTGGTATTTTTATAATAATTAAGTGTATTTATAATCATTGCTAAGCGACATGCACGTTATAAGCGGGCACTTCCTCATCTCAGCACGCAGACTCACAGGCACACAAACAGTCAATGCGGAGAGAAATAAAACGCACGCAAATTATTTAAATGCACAACCGAAAAAAACGCAATTCAATTGAATATACAGTATATAGTTTAACTTTAAAAAGTTTTTTTTTTCCATTTTAGTTTAAGTAGTTTTGTTATGTGCTTTTGTCTTTTATCATATTTATAATTTTTTATATTTCCAATTAGCTTTATTTTTTTATTTCAGTATTTAAGTTCATACATTTATTTTAATTAGTTGCCAAGGCAATATTTCAAATTTTCATTTAAGTTTTTTACATTCATGTTTTTCATCTAATATCTGCATTTTATTTCATGTTTATTTCAATTAACTTTAAATTATTTTTAAAGTTTTAGTTAACAATAACAACACTACTGGTGGCTCATTCAAAGAGTGCATGTCTGTTTATGTTTATGTCTACTCTAAAAATAAAAACTATGATTTCAAAAT